GTCCTGATCTTCATTGTGACGTCAATTCTTGAGCTCAACGCACGGGCACAAAACTTCATGAAAAGGAAACAAAAGTTATGCGAAGAAGCTGCAGTCACATCGCAAAGATCACGAAATGAGATTGCACCCACTCACTTGGGTTCCATCTATGATGAGAGGGCCTAGATTGTGACTTGTGACCACAGATTGGCCGGTCACAAAGAGTATGATTGGACCAGCAGTGGTCTTCGGTATGAAAGACAAACAAGAAGTAACTTAAGGAGAGATAAATGCAAAATTCTTGTACTTCATGCAATGTATGCAGTTGTCGGGAACCAACATGGCAAATTTCCTTTGAAAACAAAATCGTACGACAAATGTTGGAAACTAAACCGACACTTGTCGACATGGTGCCAGGCTGTTGGCTAATCCCACATGCACGCTCTGGCTCGCGTCGACTCATCACCAAGGGCGGGGATTGGAGAACACCTCTCCCCAGCGCCCCCACCCGCTCAAGGCCAGACTGTGTCCTCCTTAACTCACAACGCAGAGGGGGAAAGTATGGTAATGGTCTGTCTTGGTGTATAACCTTTCACCCCATGAAGATGAGATGATTCGGATCCAAATATATCCATCCAGGAAATGAGGGGCTACTAGTGCCCTAGTTACGCCCCCCTTTTTAAGCAACCTATACTGGCGCACCTGGGGCCAATTTCATAGAGCTGCTTAAGCACAAAATTTGCTAAAGCGTGAAAAAAAAACTTGCTCAAAAAACAAAGGTCACCAGCTGAAACTCTATCTGATTGTCATGCTAACCAAAAAATAGGTAAATACGATCCCCAAACAATATACACCACATGGAGTTTTGGTTGGTTACCTGATTTATCAAGCAAGGTTTACTCGCGCTTAAGCAGCTTCATGAAATTGGCCCCCTGGACGGGTCCTATGAAGGTTAAATGCAGGAGCCGAACTATGTGCATTTGAGTAAGATTGTGATTTTTTTGCAGGCCCTTAGACAACTACAGAGTGCGCAGTATTAATAAAATACGTCGGTGGGGGAACCTCCAGCCAAGCCGCGCTCTGCTCGGTCCAGCTTAGCTTACTTAAGCTCAGCTCAGCTCCGTTTAGCTAACGCTGCCTCCGAATCTCTTGTCTAGAGCTAGGTTTTGGGTCTTCGCTCCATTTGAAGTGCGTGGAGACGCGTAGACAGTAGACCTAGCCGTAGCTCTGGAAGCCCGTTTCGGACACGGTCTAAGTTCAGCTCAGTTCAGCCAAGCCCATGCTGGCCAGCCCAATCCCAAGTCCAGCCCAGCTGGCAATTCCAGCTTCTGTTTGAGCACCCTGTGTCTGTTGATTACTTTACCAAAAATCATGAAACAGTTGTGTGGTTGCGGATTCAAAACTCATATGATACAAACGACAATGAAACGTGTCTTTCATTCCAACCACAAGAAAATGTTCGTTTACTTTCTCCAACAGGTTTAGGACATCTGAGGTCCACTCTGCTTTCATTTTTAAGGTAACTGAATATGGTTGGAAAATATCTATAAAGATGATCACCCTAGTCAAGAAGGCTGTTGCCATGAAAAGAAAAACCGTCTACCTCACTGAAATGTACAAAAAAAATCTGTCATGTTTTAGAGAGAGAGGCCTCGGTTGCCAAGAAAAGAGCACATGCAAATAAAATATTATAGGTTACAGGCGATTCAAAGCTGCTCTTAAGTTTTTAATTCAATGATCATTTATTAACAGGGTTTCTAACTTTTACCTAAAGATCATCCGATTGAATAAGACACCAACTGTTAAAGTATAACTACTTCACCACGAATAGCACTTTGGAAAATCCCTTTGGAAAACCCCGACCGTTTTCAATAGCGTAATGGTTCAAGTTGTCTTTCGTCCATTATGTATATTATTTTGGGCAACTTGTCTGGGATATACGGCAAGTTCAGGGAACGCTTGCATTTCATTTTTTAAACACAGTCCGGAAATTCTGTTTGGAAATTTAGTTTCAGAGGAGGGAAAAATGCAGAGAACACGTCTAATGAGAGTCTCAATTAACCCCGGTGTCAAAAAGTTCTGACCATATTTGGTGATAGAGATCACTTCTTGGGCCCATTTTTCAATGGGCCCAAGATAACTTGTTGATAACTTTCTTCAAGTAGAAACCTTCATAACTACAATTTTGTTTTTCAAATTAAAGTTCATTTGAAGTTTGTACATGTACATTCACGCNACCCCGATCTTCATTGTGACGTCAATTATTGAGCTCAACGCGCGGGTACAAAACTTCACGAAAAAGAAACAAAATTGATGCCAAGAAGCTGCAATCGCATTACAAAGATTACGAAAAGAGATCCCACCGACTTACTTGTGTTCAATCTAAATTATGACTTGTGACCACAAATCGACCGGTCAATATGAATATGATTGAACCAGTGGTCTTCGACATGAAAGACAAACAAGAAATAACTTAAGGAGAAACAACGGCCAAAGTCCGAGTGTAGGTGTTTGTGTAATATATACACGGTCGTCATGCCAAAATTTCATTTGAAAGCGAAGTCACAAGACAAATGCTGGAAACTAAACTGACACTTCTTGACACGATGCCATGCTGGTCGGGGATCTCACATGCACACTTTGGCTCGTATGTTTTCTGTACCATGAGAAGGTTCTATATTAGTGACATCACCAAGGCCGAGGATTGGAGCACGCTACTCCCCAGCGCTGCGCCCCCCTCTCAAGACCAGCCTGTGTCCTCCCTCGCTCAGAACGTATACGGAGGCGAAAAAGTCTGGTTATAATGGACTGCCTTGGTATTTAACCTTTCGCTCCATGAAATTGAGATGGTTCAGATCCTAATATGGGAAAATGAGAGGCCGCAAGTACCCCAGTTACGCCCCTCTTTTTTTAAACAGCCTGGACGGGTCTTATTTTAAGTCAAATGCTGGAGCCGAACTTTTTGCATTAGCCCTATGATGTTTCCATGTTACTTTCAAACCTTTATCGTGATTCAGTAAGTATACCATGTATGAGTGGGACAGTCATCTATATCAGAATTCCGAGTAAAAAATCCGTACAAAATTGGACAGATTTCAGACACACTCAAATTAAGACAACATTTCCTGATTTAAGAATAGGAGTTAGGGTGGTATTTTGCGTCGCAATTCTTAGAACTCTGTTCCCCTTAACGTATCTTTTCCTTATCAGCCACACCCACGCTGTCTTCAAATCAATGCCAATACCTAGATCGAGCTGGATTCCCTTGGGAATCAACCTTTAAATCAATTCCAAGGACTTGACATTTCAAGAAATGCAACTCCAGGAGCTGGGGAAAAATTAAACAAACATACTGTTGATCTAAGCTTAAACCAAGCAGGGCAGCCCAGCTCGGACAGTTAAAGACAGGAACAGCTCATCCCGGCCGGCTCAGTCCAGCTCAGCTCAGCTTAGCTCAGCCCAGCTGATCCTAGTTCAGCTAAGCTCAACCCAGCTCAGCTCAGCCCAGCTCAGTCCAGCCCAGCCTGGCTCTGCTCAGCAAGCTCAGCCCACCTCTGCCAAGCCCATGCAGCCCAGCTCAACTCAGTCCAGCCTAGCTATTAGCCCATATGCCCAGCCAATGCAGATTGTTTTGCCAGCAGCGTCCGTTTAAGCACCCTGTACATGTATGTCTGTTTGATTTCTGGTTGCAAATCCAAAACCAACATGACAATGAAAAATATGTTTACTTCCAACCACAAGAAAATGTTAGTTTACCTTCTCCAACAGGTTTTAATTAAGACACACGTTGAACTCAATTTGAGGTCTAATTTATTTTCATATTTAAATTTGTTTACAGGTGATTGAATAAGTATACATAGAAATATATAAAGATGATCACCCCTATAAGTAGCCAAGAATGCCGTTTAAAGTCCCTATACGTCAATGAAATTTACAAATAGTTCAAGAGTTAAAGAATTACTCCATATTCAAGAGACAGAGGCCTCGGTTGCCACGAAACGACTACCAGTAGAGTACAGCTGTAATTCAAAGATCATTAATTTCTATCAATAATATGAAAGACAGAAAAAAACTGCTTTGAAATGGCCAAATGGCTAAGGTCGCGGTTTTCAGATCGTTAGTCCGTGGGTTCGAATCCCAGCTGTAGCCTTTATTTTCCCAACGTATGCTGTCAGTCAGTAGCCATAAGAGGTGCTGAATTCACCCAGTCAAATACCAACAGTACCTTAGCAGACCGGGTAGGGCCTAAGCTCTTCTGTTGGGACTGTCCGTGAGCGCCTTATTACAGGTTCGAGACGTATGGCCGACTCGGCCTCCAGGGCTTAGGGGCTTGTCTCCCTTGCATGGTCGCTCGAACCCTTTTTGGGGTTAAATGGATGGTCAGAGAGGAAGTGTGGTGGGCCGGGGGAAACCCGAGACCCCAGAAGAGTCCTATATGGAAGCCGGTATTAATGAATGGAAATTTGAAAAGAAAATGAAAAATCATAAACTGGGCTTTAATTTGACGTGCGTCTCAAACGCCCGAGAAACTCTCAAGTATATTTCGTGATTTTTTTGAAGTTCGGGTATTTATCACTGTTGGCTACGGCAGTTTACTTACAGGCCTGCAACCTATAAAGTCTAGTCTCTTGCGGCCTCTGCTGTTAGCCCATAGATATATTTGATGAATTTGTGGGAACAGGGCGAGGTCTATAAGATGTCTGTAAGGACGCGTCTATTTTCCACAAGTATTTTCCACAAGTCTGAGGCGACAGCAGGACAGAGACTCGACGCTGCAATTGCACGACGCGACGGATCGCCGGTACGACGCAATCGAATGCGCGCATTTAAAAGTACTAAGAAGAAGCTGTCAGGGAGAATATTTAACAGAGTTCATGATTTTATCAAAAGATC